GGGGGTGATTTGGAGGGGTCGGGGGTCGGGGATCCCCACGACGGGGCTGCAAGGGTGAAACCCCCGGCCCAGCTTGGGCCGTGGGGATCCGCTCGTGACAACACTGCTTTGGATGCAATGCTTTTCCTCGAATCTCATGTTGGAAGAGCAATAGGTCCGGTGCTTCCCACACATCCTGTTCACCCAAATCGGATGAAACCGTCACTATTCAACATCAAGTTTGATCTGGATCCGCCGAGCTGACCGAACATGAAAGATAAGATCTGGGTTGACACATGCGAAGGGGATTCTCTCGAAGTGAAGATGGCCTCATCAGACACACCTTGATGTCGTCGATGCTGAGCTTTCTTCCACCCGGAGACTGAATGCAGGCGTGGTAATCAACAAAGGGGACAAGAATCAGGAGCAGGGGCCCAGGCCTCAAGAGCAAATGTCGGAGAGCAAGCTCAACGGTCTGCTCCGCGATATTCTAGCCACTTGCTCCCCGTCCTCCCTCGCCTACATTCAAGTTCAAGATGGCTTCCAGCAGGTTCAACATGGCAGGGTCTCGGCTTACAACAATGTTCGCTTCAATCCGCTGGTTTCCCCCGTGATCATTCCAGGTCAAGGAAACCTCCAGTCTCCTTGTGCCCGAAACTCGATTCAACGGGGATTTCCCGTTGAAAGGTTCAACGACCGTTGAACCCCCGTTACAACGCCGCGCTATACCGCGTTAGAACGGGGTACAACGGGGCCCGTGAATTTTTTTTTCGCTGGCAAAAAATAATCAAAAAATAAAATAAAACTATGGGGGTGTGGATTTGTTTGCGCTCTACATCCCCATATTTTTATTTTTATTTTTTGAGCATTTAAATTATTTTAAAAAAATCAAAAATCTAACCTGACTCAAAACACATCGATTTTTTTTTCTTTTTTCTTTTATTGATTGATTGATTGATTGATTGGTTGATTGGTGGGGGATGGGTCGCCCCCCCAACCCCCACCCAATCACACACAACACACACACACACACACTCACTTACTTGCGCGGGGTTTGAAAGC